AGCACTATTCAGGTGAAATCTGAGACAGAAGCTTTAAAGAAAGAAAAGCTGATAGTAACGACTAAAACCTCTGTAGGAGAACTCAATCATGATCCAAGGGATGTTATAGACGTTCAAATCAAGCCTGAAGAAAATGTGAAAATAGAAAAGAAATATGTGAGAACTGATGGTAAAGTAGAAGTTGAATTCATGGCTAAAGTAGCTGGTCAGTTGACAGCAAATGGGAATCATGTATCTAACAGTCCACTTTTGGTGAACGTCAAGCCACAAGAAATGAAAACAACAGGACAGTTTAACATGAATAGCGCAAATGTTAGATCAAGAAGTTTGAGAGGTATAGCAGTAAACAGAGAAAATAGTAGGATCGCTGTTTCAAATGATTCTTCTCACTGTGTCTATGTGTTCACCACTGATGGAGATCTCTTATTGATGTATGGTAGTCAAGGTAGTGCACAGGGACAGTTGAATGGTCCTGAAGGTTTAGCATTTCTGAATGATACAGATTTAGTCATAGCTAACTATGGTAATGATAGAATATGTATAGTGAACACTATAACAGGGACATTGGTAAAAACCTTTGGTAAGCAAGGTAACGGTGATGGAGAGTTTCATTATCCATATGGAGTACACGTTGATGACGATGGTAACATCATTGTGTGTGATAATGGTAATCACCGTGTCCAAGTTTTCACAAGAGACGGTGGCTATCAATATCAGTTTGGTTTGACAACACAGGACACGTTTGATCCAATTGATGTGATAACACATGATGGACTGTTTTACGTCAGTGATMWTWWTAATCACGTTATTCAGGTATTTGAGAAGAAAGGYAAYGTACCGACTAGAATATCGACGATTGGTGGTGAAGGCAGAGCTGATGGTCAGCTGAATAGACCATSTGGCCTGGMTATTGATAATGACCATCATCTACTGGTTTGTGATCAAGGTAATAACCGCGTACAAAAATTCACATTGGATGGACGTTTTGTAGGAAAGACTTGTAACGTAACCAAGAAACCTAGATATATAACTGTTTTAAAGGATGGTCAGTTATTAGTTAGTACGTATAGTACTGGTGTCTGGTATGAAAAGTAGAATTGCCCATTATTTTCTGTAACATACTTTGATTGGTTTAACAAATGGATACCGCAGTGTTTGACATGTCCTTAAATATAACCATTTGGAGTTATACATTTTATAATATTTTCATTGTATATCTAGGATAGTACGTGTACGCTGATTGGTGGAAAACTTTGCTTTATTTAGTGAACGGAGCACAGAGCTAAAATTAGTAACTATAAAACGAATAAAACAACTTTTTCCGAGCTCTATTCAGTAATAAAGAAGTTAGGAAGCACCATAAGCACTCAAGAAGTGTGAGAAGCACTCGCAAACTGCCCGTGATTCTCCTTACACTTCTTTCATGCTTACGTCACTTCCTGCGTATTTTTTACTGAGCGGAGAACGGAAAAAGCTGTTTTATTTGTTGAATATCTATTTTTTACTTTTGATTTCTTTTGTTTTGATTTCGTTTCTTTCGCGTTCTTTAATTCGTTTTTGTTCTATTTTTATTCGTTCTTCCTTTTATTGATATCTTGTTCATTTTTATCGTTATTGTAGTTTTGTATTGGCCGTGATATCGTGTTATTTCAGATCTCATTTTATTTGTTGTTTTGAAAATATATATAAAAAAGAACTTTGTAGTAGTGAATAGCCGAGCTTCGTGCTATTTTTATCTCCACGTGTATATAATCTTTTACGCATACTATTAACCTTAATTTGAATAAAGACTTTTATAGTTCAAACACTAGGTCCAGAGGTAATATTTGTTAGAAATTTAAAATTAAAACTTAATTAGGGACTATGGACAACAAACAATTTTGCATGTGACGATTGGGAAAAAAAGATATTCCCATAAGAAATCCTTCTTGTTGAACTCGGTATTTAGGGACTGTGCAAT